TCAGCCATAATAACTGGATGTTGGCACCAAAAGTTACTTCCTTGAGAATAGAACTTGGGAAAGTACAATAAAGTTTTGCCTGAATTCCATATAAAGTGTATTTAAATACATCTGATTTTAAAATTATGCAGTTAATAGCTTGTTAGGATAAAAGAAAGGAAGCAGCAACTTTCTCAGCAGATGTTAACTTGGTTGTGCAGGACATCCCATAAGCATGCATTATATACTTTTTAGTATAAAATAATGTAGAATACTATATAATAATATATAATAATGTTGCTCAGCAACATTAAGCTACTTATCTCTCAGCAAAACCCAATGGAAAATATTGCTTTAACACAATATGGTGGAATTACCATTGCTATTGAATTCCTAACTTTGGTATTCCATAGTGCTAGGACTGCAGCTGTGAAAAATCATTGCAGATGCTATATAGGTGCTGTCTTACAGTAAAAGAAAATAGCCATATTTAATTTTGGAGGGTGATAAACTCTGTAGTATTCACTTACAGATGTAATTGGTTCTTTGATCATCCAAATAAAAAGGCTGTTCTTTTATGTTCAGATAGTAAAAGGATTTGGTAAATTTATGCTTATATAAATACATCCATATATATATATATACAGTATATTTATATATGTGTATATATGTGACTACATAAGCATACATTTCAGAACACAATAAATTACACATAATACTTTTCCAGAATTATAATATACCAAAGTGAGCACCAGTGCTTCCCTTCAATGATAGAGTCAGGAAATTTTAGAACTAGTAAGTAGAAAATCTCTTTTACTTCCTGAGATGCTGCATTGATGTGTTTTGCTGCTCTATTACATGTGTTTGTACTTTGCTCTGAGAGAGGAGACCTGCTTTATTCCTACTGAGTTTCACCTCCCTGAGCCCCATTCTGGAGACCAATCTGTGGTTAACCAGTTTCATTCAAAACATACCCCACGAAAGCTGCGCTTTCTTCTCCTTCCCATCTCTTCCTTCAACAAGTTTCTTGGGACCCCAACCACCTACTCCAGAGTAGGAAGATTTCAGATCCTACACTGCCACATGGCTCTGTGAATCATTTAACTATCAGAACATACTTGAGACAAAGACTCTTCTTCCAAGCTTCTCTGCTAAATTAGTCAGTGATAGAAGAAAGGATGTGGTTTTGTAGCCCAGTGGCTTAGAGAACACTTGGGGGAAAAGAGAACCAACAATTCCAATCAATGCTCTGCACCTTGCTGTTCGTCCTTGTTAACATGACAGCAATTCCTACAATGCCCCAGTGCAAACATTTCTTTGGAATGACTGGTAGAAATAGAAGAATCCCCAGATTTCACCTGGGCCCAGGCCTGAATTCTACTGAGCATTCAGAGCAGAGAGTTGAGCTCCAGGCAGCCAGATGCACTTCAGCACTAAAGTTCTTCAAAGGTCTTAGTTTAAATCTCTTTTGCTAGAAATTAAAGGTAGAGGAAATACGTCGTGTTTTGAGCTTGCCTACTGGGTAAATCAGACAGTACAATAATAAAGTCTTCATGGAGGCAGAGCCATGGATCTTTGTGAGTCTTAGCCCAATGAAAGGCTGTGTGTGTATCTGTAAGGATACCATTGAAGAGATCAGGACTTCAATCACATCATTCTCAGAGATAAAATGGAGGATTTTTTGTTTTTTAATTGGACAATCATGAAATCATAGAATGGTTTGTATTGGAAAGGACTTTATTTAGCATCTCATTCCACTCCCTGCCATGGGCAGGGACACCTTCCACTAGATCACATTGCTCCAAGCCCCATCCAGCCTGGCTTTGGACACTGCTGGGGATGGGTTCCACAGCTTCTCTGGGCAACATAGGCTAGTGCCCCACCACCCACACAGGGAAGAATTTCTTACTGATACCCCATCCAACTCTGCCCTCTGTCAGTTTGAAGCCACTCTCCCTTGTCTAGTCCCTATATGACCTTGGAAAAAGTTTCACTTCATCTTCCTTAAAAAGATATCCTAAATCCAAAATAATTGCCAGGAAGCTACAAAGAGTCACTTACAGCATGAAATGGCTAATAATTTTTTAGACTGAGTGGCTCTTACTCAAACAGGGTTATTTATATCATGCCGTTGGTTGCAAAAGCTGAATGTTGGTAAGGGAAGCTACTAAGTTATCTTCTGCATGCAGATATGAAATTTCTGTGCACTCTACACCCTCATACTGCAAATTGAAAAAATGTAAAAATTAGGATGAACAGGTCAAAAAGCTTGTGGGTTTTTCTTTTTATTAAACATCCCTTTTCCAAAAAAATGTAATAATAACAACAATGAAAATCACTAATAGCTTGTCAAGCCTATTGTACTGTCTTTAGGAAAATAGGAAAGAGATGCTGGTTATGTATCTTGTAGATTAATTATTCTGGTTCAAATAAAGCTTCTCTAGACCTGACTTCAATTGATATTCCAAACTCACACATTTGACAATGCTCATAGAATTTGCTGAAAAATACTTTGTTATTAAGACTTATAAACTTTAACCTACTGAAGTGTAAACACATCATAATACACCAAGATATAAACTAATTCTGGTTCTATGTAATAACTTCTAAATTCAAAACCAATTTCTGGATTCAGGCTAGAAGAATGAGTTAGAGCTCATATTCCTCAAAACTTGACAATTCTGAGCCATCATAGTGATGGTTCAAATAAATCCACTTACTCTGGCTTTAAAACCCACTTAAAAAACAGGTATAGCAGAAACCTGAAGCTTTTTATCTTCTCATAATTATTAGAGAGGTTGGACTGTCCTTTTCTAGCAATAATAACAAATGCAATATGTAATTTCCCATATTACAGGAAAGGTTAACAATTACATGTCAACAGAATATAGATGATTGGCTTGTATTTTGAAAAGACAAGTGTGAGAGAAAATGAATATAGTAATGTTTCACTCTAAAGAAAATGTGAAATCAGCAAATTGGGTTGTGGGGTTTCATTAGAGCAAACTAATTACCATATACAGTCTTCTAAAATCATAGTATCTCTGTAATATCCCAGCCAAATTTCTACAGTATTCTTATTACTACTACGCTACAATACATTTCTCTAAAAAATATCTTAGTGTACAATGACATTAATCAAAGAAAAGTAAATATTATATTAAATTAAACAATGCTGACTTGTGGGTTATTTCATATCCAGAAGGACAGTAAACTGTGGGGGTCAGAGGCACAGTAAATATTCCTTTATCTATGCTGACAGGCTCTGACACCCAAGAGAACACTGAGTTTAACTTAAAGCCATGGAGAAAGCTTCTAGAACTAAGTAGAGAAGCTGAGAATATGAGTGTGTGAGTCAGACAGAATTGTATTAAATCACTGGGGGAAAAAGTTAGACTTTGGAGTTTTAGTTAATATGTGAGATACAAGATGGAGGATTTGGGGCATTGTATCTTTCTCTTTCTTGTTCCGTTTCCTTCTTCTCTTCTTCTAAGGGTTTTTGGGTAATAATGAGTGATTGGGTGAAAGAATCTGCATTGCAGCACACAGGTGTCAGGCCATTGGGTCACAAAAGAAAGTAAGTTATGTGGCATTTGATTATTGGGTAAATGGACACATAAAAGGCCTTGGAGAGATTCTTCCTCTCTCCATTTTGCACCTTGCTTCCCTGGTGCATGTAGCTCCATGTACTCTGTAAATATGTAATGAAGGTAAGAAAGAATAAACAACTGAGCCCAAATACAAGAGAACAAGTCTCTCCCTTGTCAGTCTTGGTCCTGGGGAAAAGAACCCAGCCACCAATGTCTCGACATTTTGTCACCCAATGTGTGGCACTCAGGACCGAGAGCCCTTTTGGAGAAGGCAACTCAAAGCTGGAAAATTCCATGGGGAAGAATTTGGCCATCTCTGTGAGCTGGTGAGAGTGGAAAAAGCCAACCTGTGGGCTGCGGGATGGACCACAGACACAGGACCAAGGCACAGACTGACCCAGAGGGAACTTAGAAAATGTTAACTTAATTTCCAAACCAGAGACAGAAGTTTCGACTCTCTTAGAAGCAATGATAAGAGAGCATCCAATCCATGTCTCTATCGATGAGCTTAATAGCATCTTATCTTGGATTCAAGCAGAATTTCCTGGCATGGATCCACAGAAATTTTTACCCCGAGCCTGTGGGAAACTGTAAATACATGAATTTATGAAAAAAATACTCCTAAGAACCAGGCAGCAGCGAAACTCCTGCTGGCTTCTAGGGTGATTTATGGAAGAGTTTCCACCAAGTGGAACTCCAATACCTAGGCAAGGGACTCCACAGAGACAAACACAGGGCGAGAAACCCTGCCGACACATCCTGAGGTTGCGGGGTCTGCCCTTCCTCCTTCCGCAGAAGCGGGGATGCTCCAGTCCCGGAATACAGTGCTGCGAGCGTTTCTTTCACAGGATCAAATCCCGGCGGTAAAAGCCAGAAAAAGACATTTTACCCTTCACAAACCCGGCGGGAGGGGTTCCACTGCCACCGGGAGTGGGACTGTGGAAAACATCTGCCAACTCGGAGAGGGCGCGGAGTCTTCCAGCCAGCCGAGGACCTTTTACAAGTAGCGAATTCCTCACAAACCTCTAAAACCTCCCCTCCAGCAGCTGGAGCGGGGCAGCCTCAGGAAGAGCCATTGCCACAGCCATGGGAGGCAGAAGAGGGAGGGGGAAGCCCCCTGGCCGGGGGGTGGCGGCCCAGCCCGCCGGGGACAGCACGGGACGGGCCCGCCCGCCCTGCAGCGACACCGGACCCTGACAGGCACGGCTGCTCCCGTGCCCCGTCTGCCCGGGGTTTCCTTTGAGCCACAGCCAAAACGACATCAGCAGGGATGCTGCCGCTGTCAGAAGCCTTGGCGCCGCCTGTGCCGCCTCCTCCTGGCCAGCCCTCAGCAGAGGAATATCCTATGCCCCTTCCAGCCTCGGCACTGCCTCAGCACTGCCCATTGATGATGGCGGGATTGCCCAGCCCCTTCCCATTCTCGAATATTACATCAAAAGCAGGCGTGGTTCTTTTCTTCCATGCCCAACCCCCTGCGGGGGGGACAGACAGGTGGACAGGCGGAGCCGGCGGCAGCGACAGCGGCTTCAGCAGCTCTGCTGCGAACATCTGCATGGTTACCACGGCAACCGCAGCCAGAAGACGGAGCTGCCACAGCCGAGTCAGCAGCAGCAGCAGCAGCCGCCACACAGCCGAGCCAGCGCTTCACGGAGCCCACAGAGCCGAGGCCGAGAGTCCCCCGATGCAGGGGGGCCACAGCCGCCGCACCAGCCCAGCAACAGCAGCTTGGAAAATCAGCAGCCGCTTTCATACCACAAGCAGCTATGCTAACAGCAGCAGAGGTTCAAAGTGCTTTCAAGCACAGCCTGCCAAGCCAAGCAGCGGCACAAACCCTTCAAACCACACACCCAGCACCCTGCCCCACAGCAAACACGGACCCAGGACAATGGGACATGTCAACATAGACTTCAACATCCCTGAGGCTGCTCCAACTGAGCAACCAAGACACAGAAATCAAAGACTAAAACGGAAAAAGCTCACAAGCAGGTGATACAAGTTTATAATTAAAAAATACAAACACTAAGGACGTTATAAAAATCTCAGCAGGTCAAGGCTTTTCTGTAAGTATACCCCTATTCCCATAAGCTACAGCAAACCTCTGGGGAATGGCAAGCAGCACCCCAGAGCTTGGCACAACTTCCCCAAGTGCCTGGCTGGCTCCCTCAGTCACAGGACAAGTAATCAGCTCGTTCTCTCGTCCGTCCATCACCCCGTCGCTCACATTTCCAAGAGAGTTCCTTCGAGATCTCTTTTTACAGTTACGGGACTGTAACGGGACTTCCTTCCACAGAATACAGGATTCCCTCAGACGTCTTTTGTGAGATCTGATGGTAACGTGACCACTGTAAATAGTCCCTATACCCCTCCAGGCAGCACCATCTTGTGGTCAACAAGACATCAAACCTCCCATTGGCGTGCCACCTCTGGTGAACCCTTGTACTGCACCCTCAATGCCTTTTAACACTGGACCACAAATGATGCCTTCCCTTCCTTATAGAAGAGGGGAAGAGTTCCACGGGATGGACACAGCTTTCAGGTAAGAAGGAGGAGTATTCTTTCCAGATGCAAGGAGACCTCTGATAGCACATCCTTCAGGACATGTTGTAAAATATGAATCCAATATGACAAACTGCACAGATAACAGAAAAAACCCCCAAAAAACACTCAAGAGAATTTTGACATGGCAGAAACAGAAATCATGGCACTGCCAGTGAGATATGGCAGGCAAAATGTAAATCCTAGTTGGGAGCCTTTGACTCATGATGTCATCAAGGACTTGATGGAAGCCATAAAAGACAATGGGTTAGGCTCTCCATACTTTATTATTGAGAGGCACATTCAACAACATGATGAATCTGCAAAACCACTCCTGATTCAACCTAGAATGGAAGCGCATAATCAGCACCTTGCCTCAAATGATAGAAGCCTGCAGCAAGGTAGGCACACCTCAGCACATCGCAGACATCCAATCAGATGTCTTGGGAGACAGATTCAGAAAACTCCTCAAAGCACAAGATAAGAGACTTGAAAGAACTCTTGCAGCGCTCAGTGTGACTTCTCAACAAGGCAATTCAGGAGTCGTGGTAACAGAATTATCCAAGAAGCCATGCTTCAAATGTGGGAAGCATGGACACATAAAAAAGAATTGCCCAGTCATCAGGAAACGCAAAAGCACCAGGCCTTTGCCCAAGATGCAGAAGAGGAAGACATTATGCAAATCAATATCACTTCAAAACAGACGTGGATGGAAGACCTCTACCCCTTCCAGGAAGCACAAAGAACATGGGGCGCCAACAATACACAAGTGATTGCGGTGACTCAACAGTCTGGAACCCCTCTAAGGGAACACAATCTGCAAGGAACCCCAATCAGACTCCATCCACAGGACCATCTGCAACTTCCCAAGTGACCCAGAACAGCTACCCCCAGGGGTGCAGTGAGAATTGGCAGCTTTCAAATTAACATACTTCATGAATGATAGTCGTGCAGTGATTCCCACAGTGGTCACTGGAACATCATGGAAGAAGCAAGAATTTTTAATTATAGGCAAGGACAGAAACAGTACTCTAGGGGTCATTGTCTATCCATCAGTCATCTCAGCAAACCATAATGGGGTGTTGACAGTCCAGCCCTTGCATCCTCCATTGATGGTTCCACAGAACAGTCCAACGTTGAAGGCCATTGCTTTGCCATCTAATGCAGTACAGCAAGTCATGCCAATGGTGAGTCAACAAACTTCACCCAGCAATGACGACATGAACGTTCATGTCTTCTAGATAAAACAAATAGGCTGTGATCGGCCCCAAATTACCTGTGACTTGACATGTGGTGACAAAACAATCACAATTACAGGCATGTTGGACACCGGTGTGGATGTCATGGTCATTTCTTATGTCTTTTGGCCCAGAGAATGGAACTTGGTAATACCTCTGAACTCCCTCTCAGGGATCAGAGGAACTACATTATGCATGCAGAGCAAATGGTCAATTGTTGTTTCAGAGCCAGAAGGAGAGACAGCAATCATTTGTCCCTTCATTGTGTACAAATCCATCATGGTTTGGGGAAGAGACATCCTGTCACAATGGGGCACAAAAATAGAAGTGGATTTTTGATGGGAGTCACTGCAACACTCACCACCCTGAGATTGACTTGGAAGACAGACAAACCTGTCTGGGTGGGCCAGTAGCCTCAGACACAGAGTAAATTGAGTGCTTTCAAGAAATTAGTGAAGGAACAATTGCAGAAAGGTCACATCAAGCTGACAAATTGTCCTTGGAATCCTCCAGTGTTTGTCATCCACAAGAAAACCTCCAATTCATGGAGATTGCTTCATGACCTCAGAAAAATCAACGAGGTCATTGAGGAGATGGGACTACTTCAACTCAGTCCGCCTTCTCTCTTGCTGATTCCAAGAGATTGGCCGCTTGTGATCACTGATCTGAAAGGTTATTTCTTCAACATTCCACTTCATTCAAAAGATGCTCCATGATATGCATTTTCTGTCCCAAGCATCAACAGAGAAGAACCTTTACAAAGATACTATATGTTGGGTAGTCCTTCCTCAAGGACTGAAAAACAATCACCAATGATGAACTTGCACCATTTTTCCATCTACTGAGAGGAGAAAGCAACATTAAATCTCCCAGAACCCTCATGCCTGAGGCTCAAGAAGTTCTTGAGAGGATCACTGAAGCCCTTCAATAAAGACAAGCACATTGTTGTGCAATGTCTCAACCATTTTTCCTTGCAGTTAGGAGAAAACATGCAATTGTACGGTCTCATATTTTAATGGGACACTTCAAAGAAAACATTCATTGTTAATAATCGAATAGATTTTTCTACCCTACAGGTCTCCAAAAACAATTTTCACAACAATAGAAATGATAGTACAGATCATAATTAGGACAAGAATGAGATTGTTGATAATGGCAGGCAAAGATTTTGTAATGATTTATCTTTGAAAAAGAACATTTTGATTGGGCAATTCAAAAATCAGAAGAATTGCTAATTGCATTGCTGGATTATTCAGATTTCTGTTCCATTCATTTTCCAAGCCACAGGTTTTTGCAGTCAAAATTGAGCTGCAGAGAGAAGCCCATGTTGACTGAAGTGTCTTCAAAAATAAATTCAAAAGCTTATGGATATTTTTTATAATACCTGCTGGTTTTGCTTTTTCTAAGTAACATGAAAAAATTATAATTGTTATTCATATTAAGAAATTCAAAAGTTTTTTACTTTGTTTCAGTTCTGTTGTTGATGCATGAATGTTTTGAAAATGTTATCTTCTTTACACATTTGCTGGTGATGTATTCATTGTATGATATAAATTTGTGGATTTTTTATGATAAGCATGAATTATAAGGTATTATTACTGTAATTGTAGTTGGATTCTCATATATTCTATTATTTTTGTTCTCTAACTGTAAAATGCATTTCTTCAAACAGGTTGTTTAGCTAACTGCACAGGTTTCTTTCATTCTTTAGTTTCTTCCTTTGTTTGAACAGGTTTGTTATAGATTTAATCCAATGCAGTTTCATGGTTTTCCAGTATTTCCAAAGTTAAACTTGGAAGGGAACCAAATATTGGATATTTGATTAGATTCTAATTGTTAAGCATTTTGTTTAAAAAAAAAATAAGTTAGGGATATCCTTCCAGTTTAAAGCCTAGGCCCTGGCCAGGTCTTGATTTTACCTGGATGGGAAATTTCCCAACAGACCCAGATGTTTTCTGCATCAAAAAAATATTCATGTCATTTTGACTTGTCAATCTGACCTTACTAATATAAGAGCTGAATCTACTTTTAAAGTGAGTTTGGAGAATTTTTATCTGGACATAACTTTACAATTTATCACTGATTTGGGGTTTATTAGCTGTTGCAGACTCTGGCATGATAGTACATCTAGTACATTTAATAATTAATGATCTTCTAATTTCACATGTGTTATCAATTATGTCTATCATTTAACTGATCCCTAATTGCTGTAAGTTTGTTGTTTACTACATGTATTGTTTTGCTTTGATGTTTTTCATGTTCATAAATAGATAGGTGTCTTATCTTTAAACACAAAAAAGGGGGGAGGCAGAGGCTACGCTTCAAGTGTGATTAAACAAAACCTTACGTATTTTAAGTTTTCTGAACAGTTCTTTTGCAGAACCAGCTCTGCCAATCATCTGACATTTTTCCAACAGTACTCAGGCAAAATTAAAGGAAAATCCTTTGGTTCTGATTAAAAATCCAGAAACAGGACAGATTGAAGGTCCATTTCAATTAATAACTTGGGGCAAAGGGTATGCTTGTGTCTCCACAGGTTCAGGGCAGAAGTACCTTCCAGCAAAGAACGTGAAGCCTTGTTGACCACAGAAACAAGCCAAGGATCCCAGTAACAGAAAAGTGAGCATGCAGACATGAACTATCAAGACTGCAGTTGACAACAAACATCTTTTATCCTACATGCAGAAGTAGCGAACTTTGGAATTTATGTAAAAAAGCTATGTTAAGATAGTTAAAAAAGTATGTTAATATTGTAAAACCTTGTTTGCTAAAGTGTGGTGT